GGCCGAGGCCGCCACGCTCCCCAAGCCCCGGGCCTACGGCGGCGAGCTCTACGGCCCCGGCAGGCCCCTCAGCCCACGGCGCGCCTTCGAGGGCATCCGGCTGCGCTTCGAGAAGCAGCCGTCGGAAGAGGACGAGTGGGCCGTGCCCGCCAGCCCGCCCAGCCCGGAGGCGGGCACCATACGCTGCGCCTCCTTCTGCGCCGGCTTCCCCATCCCCGAGTCGCCCGCCGCCACCGCCTACGCCCACGCCGAGCACGCGCAGTCCTGGCCGTCCATCAACGTGAGTGGGCGCCCGCGCCTTCCGCAGCACGCTGCTCACACCCGACTGGCAGGGCGCCGCCTCCTCGGACAGTGGGCCACAGTAGAGGGCCCTTCACCTCTCTCCCCTGGTCTTCTGGGGGTGGGAATTGGGGCCTGTGCCGTTAAGACTTGTGTTTAATGCCGCAGTTAAGGGTGTGATTGATTTTCAGAGGGACGGTCCTGGCTTTGATTTCAGACTCCACCACTTAGCAGCTGTGGGACCTCATGCAAGTTACTTATCCTCTCTGATTGTCAGTTTTCTCACCTGCAAAATGAGGACAATGATTATATTATCTAATTACCTTAGAGGGCTCGTAGGAGGGAGGTAGTGGGCCGAAACCAATCTGCAGTGTCTGGCTCAAGCGTCCTCTATTATGTTGGTGATGGTGGCGACACTGACTGCCACAGATAATGGGCTGACACAGGGACGCCTGCCTATCCCATTCCCTCCTTCAGGCCTCAGAGCCCCTGCTCTTTTCTGTCTGTTCTAGAAGACAGCCCTATCTCAGGGCTCTATCGTTTCACTGAAATGATGAGTTTCCTGAATGTTGGAGCCACCCCTTCCTACCCGGAAGGACCAAAATACATTCCAAAGCCAGACAAATTATTTTTGAGATGTACATTTTTGGGGATTATCTATTGCTTTTAGTTAGCCAGGAGCTGTGTGACTTAGTCTCTTTAGGGGCATGTCTGGGTCTTGACTTCCCTAATTACTGTAGATGCCCTGGCAAGCTGAGCAGTGACTCTCTCATATACACCTGTTGGGGACTGCATGCCTTGGGGCATACGGAGTGGCCACTGAGCTGGTGGGGGGGGAGAAGAGAGTGCTAGAGAAAAGGCACACAGACCCCTTCTGGCATGCCGCAGCCCTCTCTGCCCTGGGTCCTGTAAAGGGCAGGCTGAGATGTGGAGACAATGGGTGCAAGCTGGAGACCATAAGTGATTCCTTTCTCTCCCCACAGCTGCTGATGGAGACGGTGGGCTCTGACATCCGCAGCTGCCCCCTCTGCCAGCTGGGTTTCCCGGTCGGGTACCCCGATGATGCCCTCATCAAACACATTGACTCCCATCTGGAGAACAGCAAGATCTAGGGCGCCTCCCCCACTGCTGGCTGTTTCTCTGCCCTCTCCCATCACCCCCAAACACTCACTCAATTTGAATGCTGCATGAATCTCGTGGGGGGCCCCTGCCCCTTGCGACCCCCCAGATACCTCCACTAGCTACCAAGTCAATGTGCGTGCCGTCTTCCCTGTTCCCGGCACCACTCAGCTCTGGCTCTTCCCAGGAGGTCAGCCGAGGCTCCACCCATTCCCGGCTTTCGCTGGGGAGGTGGGGATCTGGGCTGGGATGGGGAGGGGCATTACCCCCCCTCCAGACCTCTCCCTCTGCCTTTCTGTTCTTAAACAGGGTTGGATCCAAGAGGTGTCTAGTGCTTGGTCCTGGGGGAGGGGGAGGATGCCAGAGAACTCCAGGAGCTCCCTGAGCCCCTCCCCAAATGACCTTCTTTCCTAGGCTCTGCTCGTCTGGGGAGCACCTCCAGTGTGGGGTCCCAGAGCCTGCCCTGGACACTGATGTCAGTTTCTCCATCCCACAACCAGCTTGGGGCTTGTGGCATGGGCCTCCATTGGGGGAAGGAGGCATCTTGTTTCTTGCCACCCTGCAGGCCAGCCCTATTCTCCCCCTCTGCCCACTCTGGGGATTAGGGAAGGTGGGAGAGGAGAGGTTGGGAGAGGAGAGGGAGAACCCAGCCTAAAGAGGCTGTCCTGAGGGCTAGGAGCCCTGCGCCATGACCCTCAGGCCAGGGAACTGTCTGCCAGCCTCTCAGGCCCATGCCCTACTGGAGCCCCTGGCACTGAGGCACAGATTGTCAAGGCAGATGTCTCCCTCCACCCATACCCCACTTGAGCCCCTGACACCACAGGTGCCCTGGAGCCCATGTGTGACTCAGCCTCTCTTAGCTGAGTGGGTGTCATCTGCCCCTACCTCCCCAGCCAGAAAATGAGAATGGGCCCAGGGTGCTCTTGGAGACCAACTTCAAAAGAGCTAACCCCCTTCCAACACCCACCAACCCACATTCCCTATGTGAAATCTACCTCAGAGTTGTACCCTAAGAAGGACGGGTAAGCAGGAGGCCAGGAGGTCTCCAGGGCTGAGATGAGGAGCCTCCCATGGTGAGAACCTGCCACCCCACGATGAATCCACTCCCCTCCACTGCGAGCCTCCCCAGGCCTCAGCCCCGGGTGGGTGGCAGTGGTCGCTACTGTCAGCGCATGCACCGTTCTGATCCAACTCTTCCAGGCCCTCCACCTCCTCACACCCCTCCCCTCCTCAGTGCAGAGGAGTGAAGGGGTGTGTTGGGCGGGGAAGGGGCCAAGGACTCCAGAGACACATGTCATTGTACCCTGAGTGTTCCCCCAGGGAGGGGAAATGGGGAAGGGGGCCTGGAGAGGGGAGGCGGGGGCCCCTGTGCTCTCTGAACAAGTTGAAAGTCCAAATAAAACTAACCTGTTCCATCTGTGCTAGGTCTGTGCCCATCATGGTTGGGGGTGGGAGGGAGGGGCAGAACCCTCAGTTGCAGGAGGTCTTTGAAACTGTGTCTCAAGGAACCACAGCCATGGGAGGGTGAGCACTGGGCACATGGGGGATGTGTGGGGTGCCCACCTTCAAAGTGGTTCTGGAGACGGGCACGCAAGTGGTCACAGATGTCTTGTGACGTGGACCTTATTTAGAACAGATATAAAGTAGCCACCCCAGCCCCAAGCAGGTGTCAGGCAGGGGCTCTTGCATTTTCCCTCCCAGCAGGTCTGGCCAGTAGAGGTTCTAAAGCCCTGGGGATTCATTTATCAGTAGCATCTATTTCTTCATCAAATGATTTCTGCATGCCAGGAACCAGGCTGGGGCCTCAAAGAGGAAGAATATCTGTGTTCCATGTCTTCATGGGTCTAAGAGCAGGGGAGGGCTGCGTTAGCAGCTGCCTTAAAAGTCCTATGGCCTGGGAGGTCAGAGCTGGGTCATGAACCTATGACTTCTGCTCTAGCCGAGGCTGTGCCCTCTGTCTGCAAAAAGGGCCTGAGCTACTTATTCACTGGCTCTGGGTGCCTTTCATTTCCACATGTCCCTTTTTGGTCAAGGGTTTACTTAAAAACAAAAGAGGGGACAGGGGTAACTGTTCATTGAAAGCCTGAGGTTCAGCTCTAGACACAGGACAAATGTCCCTCCCCATTAAGTGCCAAGGTCCTCACCCCTGTGGGGAAGCTGCCCAACCTCCCCAGCTCCTCTGTTGTAGTTAACTGCTTCCCTCTAAAAGTTCATCCAAGCTTGATTACATCTGCAGCCAAGTTGTGAGTGCTAGGAAAGGTGTGATCAGCTGTGACATGTCCCTATGTAATATAGCTTCATAAGCCCTGGGAAAGAAGGTTCTGGAACATCTGGTGCATAAGCGCTCAGTGCCCCCTGCTGTTCCTCCAGCTCAGTCAACTCCCATGGAGGAAGGCAGCACCCAAGTTCCTGGATCTGGGTCCTGTTTGGATCTCGGGAAGCACTTGCTGGGTGGGTGTGAATGAATAAGGATGGTACAGGAACACACAAGGTAAGGAGAAATCCTGGTGCTTGAGAAAAGGGCTGACTTGGGAATGAGCTAGTACAGAGACAGGGGGTGACCCAGGCAAGCAGTTCTGGTCCTTTGGCATCTCTGAAAGTGGGAGGGCATCCAGGTATCCTGCAACCTGGACATTCCCCCTGTCACCAGGGTGAGGGGAGCATGGGGACATAGGGTGCCGATTCTGGCAGCTTGTCTCCTTGATTTCTAGGGACATGGGAAAGGGCTCAGGTGCAGGGCAGAAAGTTGCTGGGGGCTGGGAGGGAAGGTGGGGAAGGGAGAAAAAGCTAGCGTGCCCCCAGCCCAGGTCCCCGAGAGCCGCAGCCTTTCATCTAATGCCCCCCATGAAAGGAGAGGACTTGGGGGTGGGGGAGCTAGGGAAGGGCTGGGGAGCCCTGCGGTGCTCATCTCTCTCCTCCCCTCTGAAGCAGGATCATGATTAGATGTAAGGACATTTGCTCCTTGTTACTGTATGGAGAAGGTGAGGGATGGTAGGGGCTGAGAGAATGAGGGGACACAAGGGTCCACATCTCTAGGCTCCTGGAAAGGGGACGAGGGTGGGACAACTTTCACAAGAACAAGGTGGAGGGTTGGAAAAAACACACCTGGGAGACCCATCTGTCAAGGCTGGAAAAAACACACCTGGGAGACCCATCCCTCTCCCCAGTGCAGACCCAAAGCCAGACATGGCAGAGCCCACGCCATCCATGAGCATATCTGCACATGCAGATTTAAAGGCCCAAATATCCAACATTCTCTCCAGCTCTGGTCCCTCTCCCCTAGGGTTTCCCCAGCCAGAGCTCCCAGGCCACAGAGAACCCTGCCCCTGTCCTGGGGCCCTGTGCAGGCTGTCAGACTATCAGCTGAGGAGAGTGACAGCTCCTTTCAGAAGCTGTGGCATGTGTGCACGGTGTGTGTGCACGAGAGAGTGTGTCGGGGAGAAGCAGATCGCTAACCAAGGGGAGGGGGGTGTGGGTGAGTCAGCCTTGTTAATGAGAGGCACCTCGCCCAGCTGATGAGTACTAATGAAGAACAGAGGTGGGGGTTCACTCCTCGACATCTTTACAGGGTAGGGGGAGCAGGACAGTTCCCCCAGTCCCTTCTCTCCCTCAGCAGGGACAAGAACAGAGCAAATTTGGCAACAACAGAAGGAACTGAGGTCAGACACAAGGATGAAACCTCAATGGCAAGGGGGTTCGTAACTGGAGAGGGGGGAACAAGGCATCTGGGGCAGAGGCAAGATAACGTGGAGAAGAGAGTGAAGCCCTCTAGCACCTCACCCTGTCCCTGCCCTTCCTCCAAGTACTGTTTTTATTTTTTTTATTTTTTATTTTTTTGTCTTTTTTTCCGTGTCCGGCAACGGATTGCAACCCTCAGTGTCGCCCCCGTACCGGACCGGGACCGGCAACGGGATCGCAACCCTCGGTGTTGCTCCCGCGCCTCGCTCAGCCAGCGAGCGGGAACCGGTCTGTATGTGGGATCCGAACCCTCGGCGGGAGCGCCGCCGCGCTTCCCAAGCGGCGCACTAGCACAGTGCGCCACCGGGCCGGCCCCAAGTACTGTTTTGATTCCAGAGAAATTCTTGGTGCTTGAGGCTTCTTCTGCTGGCTGCCTAAGTTCCTTCTGAGATTGAACCTACATCTGCAGAGGGCTGGAAGACTCTAGTCCATGCCCTTCCCATCAGCAGCCTGTGAGAGAAAGAGGGCTCTGGTTTGGGGCACTTACTTGTTCGTGGCATTCACTGTCTATACAGATGCCATGCAGCCCTGTGTTAATGACCCAGGGATACCTGGTGGGGCTGAGGGTATGAAGGGACTGGGGCAAGGGAGGATGTGGGTGTTGGCTGGAAACCCTCTCGGTGCCTGCCCTGTCCTTGTGGCAGAGGCAGATGCCCCTGAGAACCCAGCCCCAACCCATAGCTTCACCCGCGCTGCATGCCGATTCACTCGTGCTGCATGCTGATTCACCCAAGGGCAGGGTCACCAGGCGCATCTCACAGATGTTCCAGTCGGCTGTGTGTGTGGGTATGGGGGAGGGAGAGGAGGGGCTGGGGGTACAGGATGGGTGTCGGCCAACACCTCCTAATTTGCATCACCACTGACACCCTTCTTGACCAAGAAAATGGAGCCAGAAATAACAAGGGGGGGAGGTCATTCCCTTTGTGGGGGATTTGAGGCTCTCTTTCCTTGCCTCCAACACTCCCATGCTTCTGGGGACAGGAGGTCAGACCCCCAGCTGGCCCTGGGCAGGAGAAATGCACCCCATTGCCCATGCTTGCTCAGATTGGGCAGACACCCCATCCTAGCCTCTCATTTCCCTCAGCCCCAAACACCCAGCCCTGCCCTTTTCCTCCTTCAGAGTCTGTTCCACCCTTCCCTCCTCTGGGAACCCTCTCCCTGGGACCTCTCTTGTAGCTGTGACGACCCCCGCTCTGCTTAGTGGGGAGCTGTCTCTACCAGTGTTCTCTGGTCTGTTTGCCTCCCCTGTCAGATCGGGCATTTCCCAGGGCCAGGGCCCGAACCTTCCCTACCAATCTGGGAGCAGCTGAAGGAACCATTCTACTTGGGAAATAGTCCCCAAAATAGCAGGAAATGGCATGAGGTAAATCAGGTTCCAGTGTGAGACCCTGTTCCTAGGGCTATGTGGTAGGGGCAAAGAGGGACCTTCCTCCCACCCACCCTAGGGACATTCAGCTCTGTGGGAGGCCTCTGGTCCTTTACTTGGAGGAAGTTTCCAAGTGTCAGGCCTCCTCCCATGAGATCCTTGGAGACAAAGACCGGGACTGTTCCAGTTTGACATTTTTGTCCCCTGCTCCAGGGACTACTGCACAGATCCTCACAAACACATCTGATGCTCAGTTTATTACTTTTCTTTTTCTTTCTCTCTCTCTCTTTATTTTTTTAGTGGCTGGCCGGTGTGGGGATCGTGATGCTCAATTTATGAGCAATGAATTTCCTTCTGTCCCAAAGAGGGTAGGGAATATTGTGAGAGTCACAGCTTGGAGGCAGGAGATTGCAGACATGACAGGCCAAAGGGTCCTGGATCTGGCAGGGTGAGGTGGCGAGGGTGGAGGCAGAGCAGAAGGGCCTGGCAGGGAAATCAGGTCGCGAGAGACAGCCGAGAGAGCTGTGAACACACCGTGGGAAGGAGTGAACGATGAACTGAGAACTTCCCCCATCCCCCCCTTCAGAGATGCTATTTTGGGGGGAGAGAAAATATGCAGTGCGGGGGCAGGGTGGGGGAGCATGCCAGCTTCCACAGGGGTCAGCCGGGCCATGGTTCCCCCATCCCCCCCTTCAGAGATGCTATTTTGGGGGGAGAGAAAATATGCAGTGCGGGGGTAGGGTGGGGGAGCATGCCAGCTTCCACAGGGGTCAGCCGGGCCATGAGCTGCCTCTCTTTGCTTGCCATCTTTATTGGCTCTGGGACCCCCAGCACTTTTCTCCCCACCGGGAAAGTCTTCTTGTAGAAAGAACGAGCTAGGAGATTTGGAGCTGACCTCTGGATATCCCCTTGAGGGTCCCTGGGGCCTCAGACCTATGGAGAAGTTTCTTTTCCATCCTTTTATTCAAATGAAACTGGAGGGCTAGTGTGGGGTGTGAGCACCTCTTGCCCCCAACTCCATACTTAGGCCCTCTGCCTGGGTTTCGCCATTAGCATCAAGTGCAGGTGTTAAAGGAGGCCGGGGTGGATGGCACTTCCTAGTTGGCTGGGGTGTGAGCACCTCTTGCCCCCAACTCCATACTTAGGCCCTCTGCCTGGGTTTCGCCATCAGCATCAAGTGCAGGTGTTAAAGGAGGCCGGGGTGGATGGCACTTCCTAGTTGGCCCCCTCCTCCTCCTGGATGGGGAGGCTGACCTTGCTCCTTGGGCACAAGGAAGCTGTAGGGAAACAGCCTTCAAGTAGAGCCTGTGCTTGGC